CTCATTTTCTTTTTTTAAAAAATAATTATGAGACATAATAGCATTAACAAATAAAATTTCCATCTGTTGTGATACTTCTTTTCCTGGGGATACTAAGCAATGCTTACTCCCTTTTAAGGTTCTAGTGTCTGCCTCCTGAGTGCTGGGATTAAAGGCATGTGCCACCATGCCCAGCTATATCTTTTACATTCTCATTTTCTTCTTTTTTTTGAAATGATTATGAGGCATAATAGCATTAAGTTATAGATTTTTCCATCTGCTGTGAGAATTATGTTCCTGGGGATGCTAAGCAATGTTTATTCCCTATCAAGGTTCTAGTTTCAAGCCAATGTTTAATTAAAGTTTTACTGAGGCACCAGTGAATTAATTGAGCTTACTTACAGACATAACTGAGGGGTTGCTGAGGTGTATGTATGCCCTGAGGGTATGCACATTGGAAAGCCTTTACCCAGCATGGGTCATGCCTTCTGTTCCTAGCCTTCCCCAGATTGTGTACTTTAGCCCTCCCCAAATCCAGGAGGCCATGTGTGATTAGGGTCAAAGTACATACAGTAGGCTGGGAAGAGTGGCTGGATAATCTGGTGAGGGTCCAGTGACCCTGCTTGGTCCTCCTTTAATGAATGAGCACAACTGTCAACAAGCCCACTTATGACGATGTTTGGCAGTCAGGCTCATGCTGATGGTAGTTATTTCATGTAGAGGGGACTGCTGTATAGCATCATCTTATTGAAAGGATCACCATGTGGAGACAGGATCCAGGGGCCCTCAGGCAGTCCCCTGTGTTCTCAGCCTCTCTATCAGAGAGAGGCCAGAGGGAGGCTAGACTTCGGCACTCTCTGACAGTCTGCTGAGATCAGAGCCACTACACCAATGGATGTTGGAACCCACCCTCTCAGGCTGTCTGCTAGGATCACAACTAACTCTTTTTTCTCTTTCTAATTTTTTAATGTAGGCACTTAGAGCTATAAACTTCCCTCTCAGAACTGTTTTTAAAGCGTCCCAGAGGTTTTGTTGTATTGTCCGTTTCATTGAATTCCAGGAATCCTTTTATTTCTTTTTTAATGTCTCCTTTGACCCACTCATCATTTAGGAGTGTGTTGTTTAACCTCCATGAGTTTGTATAGTGACTAGGGCTTCTTTATGTGTTGATTTTGAGCCTTATTATATTGTCATCTGATAGAATGCATAGAATTATTTTAATTGTTTTGTATTTGTTAAGGTTTGTTTTGTGCCCCAGTATGTTGTCAGTTTTTGAGAAAGTTTAATGGGGTGCTGAATAGAAATTTGGTGCTTAGGTGGAATATTTGGAAGATGTTTGTTAGGTCCATTTAAAGCATGGTGTCATTTAGTCCAGACGTCTCTCTGTTTATTCTTTATCCAGTTTACCTATCTCATCGAGACAGTGGAGTATTGAAGTCCCTTACTATTACTCAGTTGGGGTTAATCTGTGTCTGATAGCCCTGTAATGTTGCTTTTATGAATTTGGGTGCACCAGAGTTTGGTCCATATATGTTCAGGATTGTAGTATCTTGTTGGTTAATTGTTCCCTTGATCAGAATGAAGTCACCCTCCTTATCTCATCTGATTAGTTTTACTTTGAAGTCTATTTTGTCAGATATTAGAATTGTAACCCCTGCTTGTTTCTTAGTGCCATTTACTTGGAATACTCTTTTCTATCCTTTTACCTTAAGATAATGCTTGTCCTTGAAGGTGAGATGGGTTTCTTGCAGTCAAGAAAAAGATGGATTTCGTTTCTTAATCCATTCAACTTGCCTGTGTATTTTGACTGGGGAATTCAGTACATTGATATTTAAAGTTATTATTGAAGCCGGGTGTGGTGGCACACGCCTTTAGTCCCAGCACACAGGAGGCAGAGGCAGGCGGATCTATGTGAGTTTAAGGCCAGCCTGGTCTACATAGTGAGCTATAGGGAGACCCTGTCTCAAAAAGACCAAAAAGAAAGAAAAAAGGTATTAATTTAGCTTGTCAGTCAACCAGCACTCACTCCAGCTAACCATTTGATCAGTGGTGGCAAGAAACTTATAGTCCCACTTAGTCATGAGACAGAGCCTTTCTTTGTTGTCTTTCTGTAACCCCTTGAGTATAGTCATTCCTTTCTTCAGCTCTTTGTATTGCTTCAAGTGTTCTCTGAAGGGCTGGTGTTACGGACATTTTCTTTCAGGCTGTTCGTGTCATGGAAGATTTTTCTTTCTCCCTCAACTATAATAGATATTTTTGCTGGGTAATGTATTCTGGGCTGGCATCTATTGCCATTTAGAACTGGAAATACCTTGGTCTGGGCTCTTCTGGCTTTCATAGTTTGCACTGATAGGTCAGCTGTAATTCTGATGGACTTTCCTTTGTATGTGACTTGTTTTTCTTATGCTGCTTTCAGGATTCTCTCTTTGTTCTGTACATTTAATGTTTTCACTATGAAATGCCACGGGGATCTTCTTTTCTCGTCCTGTCTATTTGGTGTTCTATGTGCTTCTTGTATTTTTATAGGGATGTCTTTCCTTAGTTTTTGGACATTCTCTTCTACAATCCTGTTTAAGATCTGGTCAACAACGTTAACCTAAAATTCTTCTCCTTCTCTATGCCTATGATACATAGATTTGGTCTTTTCAAGGTGTCCCACATCTCATGCATAATCCATTCCTGTGCTTTAAAAATTTTTTCATAGTCTTTGCTTTTGTAGTCCAGTTCTTCAATTTTATCCCCCAGTGTTGATATTTTGTTTTCCATTTCATTCATTCTAGCATTGAGGCTTTCCCCTGTTGTTTATTGAGTTGATTTACTGAGTTTTTCATTTCCTTTTTCCTTTCAGCCTGAGTTTTCTTCACTGTTTTATTTCTTTTGTGAATTCATGCAGAAGTTTATCTGTATCTTTTTTAGTTCTTTGATTTTTTTTTTTTTGTGTGCTGTAAATCCGTTGAATTCCTTTATCATATTTATGATCTTTTAAATTCTGTGTCCTGGGTTATCTCTCGGGGGTTCTCTTGTAGACCTTTTCTACAGGACTGATGGAGTATGATTGGGACATAGTATTTTGGCTTTGTATTTTATTGTTTTTTTGTTGTGATTGTGGCATGTGAATTTCTTTTGTTGTTTGTGATTTTGTTATGAAAAAAGTCAAGTCTTCTTTTGTTGAATTGAAGTTTGGTTCTATTTGTATTATTGGTGTGCCTTGGTGTTTTCTTATTGGTTATGTAAAGCTGGTTGGTCTAGGTTTCAGGTTCTTTTAGATTTTATTTTGGAGGGAATTGATGGCTTCAGATCAGCTCCTTAGAAGCTCCCACAGAAGCCCAAGTCAGGCTCCAGTCAGGTACCCTCAGGCTTCCTCCTAATGTTTAGACCCCTATTAGTGGGTACTCAGAGCGCAATTTGGGAGGTTCCCTAATGGGCAGCCCGATCCTGGCACTCTCAGTCTGTGTGTTGAGTGCTCAGCCCTCACACCAGGCAGGGTGCCACATCAGGTGCTTTCAGGTGGTCTGTTGAGATCTCAGCCCCTACACCAATGGAAGCCAAATAGTCACTCTTAGGCTGTCTGCTAAGGTCTTAGCCTTACCCTACCATAGGACAGACATCTGCCCTGGGGCTTTGAGAGGGGCCTCATATAATCCCAGTTCTGGGATTGGGTAAAGTACGATTTGGGGATGCTCACCACCATGTGGAGGCAGGGTCCAGGTGCTCTCAGGCATCTGCTGAATTCTCAGCCCTATCTTACCATAGGGCAGAGGCCTGCCCTGGGGCTGTGGGAGGGGCCTCACATAGTCCCAGTTAGGGGGTTGGCTAAGGCCAGATTTAGGGAAGCTCACCACCATGTGGAGGCCTGATTCAGGTGCTCTCAGGTGGTCTGATGAGATCTCAGCCCCTATACCAGATGGAGGTCAGATGAGACACTCTCAGGCTGTCTGCTAAGATCTCAGCCTTACCCTACCCTACTGTTGGGCAGAAGTCTGCTCTGGGGCCATGGGAGGGGCCTCACGTAATTCCAGTTAGGGGGGTTGGCGGCTATGACGATATTTGGGTAAGCTCACCGCCATGTGGAGACTGGATCCCGGTGCTCTCAGACGGTCTGATGAGATCTCAGCCCCTACACCAATGGAGGCCAGTTCAGGCCCTCTCAGGCTCGTGTTTAGTGCACTTTTAAGAATATATTTTTAATGACTTGTTTTATTTTTAATTATATATATGTTTGTGTCTGTGTGTGGGTATGTGCACGTAAGTGCAGGTGCCTATAGAAGCCAGAAATGTCAAATCTCCCCAGAGCTGGAGTTATAGGTGGTTACAAGCCACCTGATGTGGTGGCTGGGAATCAAACCGAGGTCCTGTGCAAGCACAGTATGTTCGCTTAACCACTGAGCCCTCATTATATGACACTTTTTAAAATATGTATTCCGTATAGTGTTTTTATCAAGGAACGTTTGAAAAGAGTCCAAAATTCCCCCTTATTGTCATTACATATATATATA